ATCCCTCCCCAGGGTCGCATCCTGACCGGGCTTTGATCCTGATTTAGAAACCATGGAGAAGCCCCTGCAGAGCGGAGAGCCCTGAGGCTGCTGGAGCGGGGACAAAACCTTCAGCCCGCTCCATGAATATTCCAGTTTGCCAGCGCTGCCGCCTTGTGAGGAGGATAAAAATATCCCCAAGGCTGCGGGGATGCTGCCGGCACCGGCGGCAGGGCCAAAATTCCCAGGGGGGTCTGCTGGCAGCCAGTCACTGGCACCCCAAAGTGCAGATGGGGAGCCCAGCTATTTAAAGGGTGTTGTTCCCTCCAGCAAATCCCAGCGGAAGAAATCCCAGGTGGTGCTTCCATTCCCTCTGTCCTTATTTTGTGCAGGCCGAATAAAATGTCCTTATTTCTTGCCGAATATTCTTGCTGCACCAAGAATAAACCCTTGATGTTTAAGGGCTTTGTACTGATGTGCAAGTCCTGGTGCTGGGAAAAACATCTGCCCTAAGAGCCACCAAAGTGCCATCCAGACCAAAATGCCACAGCTTTGCCCCCGGAATGGGGATATAGTGTGGGATGTTCAGGAAGGACTAGGAGGAAAAATCCAACCCCTCCAAGCTGCTGCCATGATTCCTGATGTCCTCCCTGCCCACTGTGCCCTCTGGGAACCCAGCTGTGCCATTCTGGCTGCAAGCGCCTGTTTTAATCCCCATGGGGAAAAAACTCCATATTGAGCCAATTCTGGAAAAATTCACAGGACTGTTTGGGTCACTGGAGTGGGTGGCAACACCCTGGTGCCATCACCTCGGAGCCAGGGTGGAGCTCCCACCAGCTCAGTCCCCGATGGGATGGATACATAAACACAAATAAAAATAAAAGCACTTTGCAGGAAACATCCTCAGAATGTTTTACAGCCACTTATTGATTTCTCTTCTCTTCCCTTTTTCCAGCCCACGGAGATAAATATTATGGCCCTTTTCAGACTGGGCACAACAATTCTCACCAAGATCGGGTATCAAGCACAGGGCTCTTTCTATTAGTGAAGTGACTAAAATAAAATAAAACAAAGCAAAACAAAGTAAAATAAAATAAAATAACATTAAACTGAAATGAAATAAAATAATAAAATAAAAAGAACTACTGTGCTCAGGGCCCAGCAGAGCGTGGGGATGCTCCGGCTCATCCTGTCACATCCCAGCACCTGCAGGGGCTGCTGCTCTCCCCAGCGGGGACAGGAGGTCCCCACTGGTCCCCTAACACTGATCTTGACCCTACTCTGACCCTAAACCCAGTTCTAATCCCTGTGCTGATCCTGACCTTAACGTTGACTCCAAACCTAATCCTGACCCTTACCCTTACCTTATCCTAACTATAACCCTGACCCTAACATTAACCTTGACTCTAACTCTAATCCTGACCCAAACCCTGATTTTGACCCTTACCTTAATCCTGACCCTGACCTTGACCCCAGCATGAACCCTGACCCATGTGGGTGACCCCTGTCCCTCAGGACCATCCCTGCAGATGGTCCCTCACTCCCCCCACCCCAGTGCCAGCTGCAGCCACCCCAGGGACAAAGGGCTGCTCCTGCCTGTCCCCTTCTGGCATCTGACAGACCCATAGAAAGGGTTTTCCCTTCAGCTGCCCATTTTCTTCCATTTTTTTCAGGAAATTGCACCACCAAAAGCAGGAAAAGCCACCAGGAGTTGAGACTTGGCTTTGCAGGGTGGCTGGGCAGATGTCCCTGCTGTCCCCAGTGTCCCCCCAGCCTACCCTGCTGTGTTGGTGGGGGAACCAGTGGGATCTTCTGGGACTGCTGGGATAGGTGACACAAAGGCACCAGCTGGATGACACCACTGCCCCCAAGGCTCCCATCTCCCCCAAGAGACAACCTCCACATGAGCACAGACCCCAGCCCCAGGACAGCATCCACCCTGGTTGTCCCCAGACTCAGGGGCACTGGCACTGCAGGGTGACAGTGGCCCACTGGGGTTTGGTGACAAGCAGGAGGGGCCACTCCTCAGACCCTCGAGAGTTATGGTGCATGTACCCCAGCGAGCCTTTCCCAGGGGAGACAAAACACCAGGGTTCTATTACTATTCTTTATTTCCACTTATTATTCCTTATTTCCACTTATTATTCCTTATTTCCATTTATTATTCCTTATTTCTATTAATTATTCCTCATTTCCATTAATTATTCCTCATTTGCAAGTATTATTCACGTTTGCATGTATTATTCCCTTACTTCCTTTTATTATTCCCTACTTTCCTTAATCTATTATTCCTTAATCCTATCTATTATTCCTGATTTCCAGCTGTCTGGAGAGGTCTGCTCAGGACTGCACAGTGGGAAGAGGGATAAACATCAGCCATCGTGCTCGAGATGGGGACCGGTGGCTGAGGAAGAGGATGGTCCCCGAGCTGCCGCTGAGCCCCGAGGAGGATCCAGCCGCCCCATCCCAGCAAAGAGGGAGCCACATTCCCCACATTCATCCCAGCCTGGAGGATCTGGCGGCAGGGGCAGCTCTGCGGGCAGCCGACGAGCCGGGTACCACCGGAGCCTCCCAGTGCCCGTCACGAGCCGGCGCCGCAGGGAGCCCTAAGAGGATTAGGGGTTTAGCAGCCCCCGGGCCGCCGGCCCCGTTCCCTGGGCTGGGGAGAGCCGGCGCTGCCCCCGCGCTCCCGGGGGATGCGGGAAGGAGGATGCTCCTCGCCCTGTCAGCGGCACCATTTTGAGGCCGGGCGTGCGCGGTGCCCACGGCTCCCCGCGGGGGTGGGGGGACACGGGGACACCCCTCCCGTGCGCGGGGCAGATGTGCCAAACCTCCTCGGAGACACGGCAAACCTCCTCGTGGGGAGGGGGGGCCCGGAGAGCGAACCTGGAGAAAATCACACGCTCTGTCCCCAATCCAGCCTCCTCCTGCTGCTCCCCCGAGGGAGGCGAGCGCTGGTCCCTCCGCGCTCCCGCACCACATTCCCACATGGTGATCCACGGGCCGTGTTCCCCGTGCCATGATCCCACACCACGCTCCTGCACTGCACTCTCTCACCACATTCCCTGTGCCATGTTCCCTGTGCCGTGACCCCACACCACGCTCCAGCACTGCACTCCCTCACCACATTCCCTGTGCCGTGATCCCACACCACGCTCCCACACCACATTCCCACACCGCGCTCCTGCCCCACGTTCCCACACTGCACTTCTGCACCAGGTTCCCACACCGTGCTCCCACACTGGATTCCTGGAGCGCGCTCCCAAACCACATTCCCTCCCCACGCTTCTTGCCCCACGCTCCTGCCCCTCTGCTGCTCCCGCACTGTTCCCGCATCGCGTTCCCACACCGGATTCCTTCAGCACGCTCCCAAATCACGTTCCCACACGTTCCTGCACGGCTGCCACAGCCCCACGGCGGTGCCCGCTGCCATCCCACCCCGTGCCATGTGCCAGCAGCGTGACCTCCAGCCTGGCAATGGACCCCGAGCCGGCGGGATGTCCCCCCAGTGCCACGGGGGGACAAGAGAGGGGGATGCAGGGGGTGCCAGCGGAAATCCCAAGCCCTCAGATCCGGAAGGGGATGCTGATCCCGACGCCCTGGCCGTGCCGGTGCCCCAGTGCCACCATGGGAAGGAAAAAATAAACAAATCCTCCTTCCCCTCCCTCCCCCCCTCACCCCCCGCTGCAAAATCCCCAGGAATTACACAACAGCCACCATCAAATCCCGGGCCTGGCCACGCTCCGGCGCACACGGGCACTGCCGTGGGCACAGCCCCTTCATCCACAGCCCGCTGCAGCCCTGGCCCCACAGCCAGCCGGGTGCCGGGGGGGCAGGACACTGGGGCACCCCACAGCATCAGGGGGTCTGGAGAGAGGGTGTTCCTGCAGCCTGGCCCTGGCACAGGGGGTGGGCAGGGCAGGGGCAGCCAGGGAGCAGTGGGCAAAGGGGGCAGGGAGTGGGACAGGGGTAAGGGGGGCAGCGGGGCAGGGGTTAACAAACAGGCAGGTTGCAGGCAGGGAATGGGCAGGGAATGGGCAGGGAGGAGGTGAGGAATGGGCACAGGGGCAGTGGGGCAGGCAGGGAGCAGGGAATGGGGCAGGCAGGGAGCAGGGTAGGCAGGGAGCAGGGAAAGGGGTAAGGTGAGGACAGAGGGTGTCAGGGTGCAGGCATGGAGCAGGCAGGATGCAGGCAGCAGTGTAGGGGGCACACAGGGTGCAGGAAGGCTGGGGGGCAGGCAGGGTGCAAGCTGAGGGATGGGGCAGTAGGATAAGCAAAGTGTGGACAGGAACAGGGGCAACAGGAAGAGGGCAGGGAGAAGGAAGGGTACAGGAAGGGAGATGGAGCAGTGGGGCAGGCAGGGAGCAGGGGAGCAGGCAGGGGTAGGGGGTGGTAGGGTATAGGCAGGGAGCAGGCACGGGAGCAGGCAAGCTGTGGGATTAGGGGCAGTGGGGCAAGCAGGGAGTGGGCATTGTGGAGCGGCATTAGGCAGGACACAGGTGGGTTGCAGAATCAGGGCAGTGGGGCAGGCAGGGAGTGGGCAGGGAACACAGTGTGCAGGTGGAGAGTGGGACGAGGGCAGTGAGGCTGGTAGAGCATGGACACGGAGCCAGGGCAGCAGGGCAGGCAGGGAGAGGGCAGGAGGCAGGGGCGTGGGGAGGGTGCAGGATCAGGTCAGTGGGACAGGCAGAGCACAGGCAAGGCTTGGGACTGGGGCAGTGGGGCAGGCAGGAATCAGGGAGGGTGTTGGATTGGGATAGCGGGGTAGGCAGGGAACGGGCAGGAGGCAGGCGGGGTGCTGGATCGGGGCGGTGGGGCAGGCAGGGATCGGGCAGGTGCGGGTGCGGCGGAGCAGGAGGGACGCAGGCAGGGTGCGTGATGGGGGCGGTGGGGAGGGCAGGGAGCAGGCAGGGTCCGTCCCCATCCCCATCCTCATCCTCAACCCCATCTCCATCCTCATCCTCAACCCCATCCCCAGCCCATCCCAGCCCCATCCCTTCCCAGCCCCATCCCATCCCTACCTGCCCACGGTCTGGTTGGCGAGCTGGCGCATGCGGTTGAATTGCTTCTTCATGGTGGCGGCGGTGCGGGCGGTGCGGGCGGGCAGCGGGGGCCGGGGCCGCGGGCCGCCCCTCCCGCATCCCCGCCCGGCACCGAGCCGGGCCGGGCCGAGCCGAGCCGAGCCGGGCCGAGCGGGCCCCGCCGCCCCTGCGCCGCTCCGCGCCTCCGCCTGCGCTCCGCGCCCCCCGCACCGCCCCGCACCGCCCCCGGCCGCGGCGGCGATGGGAAATGTAGTCCGGGGCCGCCCGCCCCGGCGGACTCCGCAGGGCGTGGGGGTGTCTTGGAGCGAGTCTGGAGCCGGGCATCCCCCCCGGCATTCCCTGATATCCCCCGACATCCCTGGGCGTGGCCCCAGCGTCCTCCCGGCATCCCTCAGCATCCCTTGACATGGCCTCGGCATCACCTGGCATCCCCCCCGGCATCCCTCTGGCATGCCCCAGCATCACCTGGCGTCCCCTTAGATCCCGTGACATGGCCTCAGCATCTCTCCAGCCTCCCCTGGCATCCCTTCACATCACCTCGGCATCCCTTGGCACGGCCCCAGCATCCCCCAAGGATCTCCTGGCATCCTTTGGCATCCCCCTGGAATTCCCCTAACACCCCCCAGCACCGCCCCAGCATCCCTTGGCGCGGCTCCAGCATCACTCCGGCACTCCGTGCCAACGCTCGGCTTCCTCCCGCGGCATCGCCCACCTCCGCTCCCTGGAGCCCCCGCGACTGGGGACACTCCGGGCTGGGGGGCAGGTTTAAACCGCACCTGGCTGGGCAGCGCCGGATGAGCCGGATTTGGACCCTGCTGCAGACCCGGGCAGGGCAGCAGGAGCCGGTCCCAGCTGGGGCTCCCTTCTGTCTGGCGGCTCAGTGCCCCCCAAGCTCTTCAGACCCCGGAAGGGGAGCTGGGGGGGCTGCTCCCGACCTGCCCAGGACACTGGGCCCCGAAAGGGCTGCTCTGCCCACGCTGTCGCTCCTGGCTTGAAGAACCCTTGACTGATTGAATTGCTGTGGAGCTTCTTGGTGTGGAATAAACAGAATTTGCAGCACTGGTGCCTGTGAGGATGTGAAACCTGCTTAGGAAAAAGCCCCAGTGGCAATCCCTGCGGGCAGCTTTATCCTCCTCATCCCAATCTCCCTGCCCTGCATCTGGATCCGCCCTCAGGGATGATCGGAGGCACAGTCCCACCCCGGCAGGGCTGTGTGAGTGGCTGCTCTCTCCCATGGCAGCAGCCAGGCTCAGGTAGGAGAGCACCAGGGCAGTCCCTGCACCGGGCTGTGAGCTCTGATTTGACTCCCAGACCTTTTCCATAGGTCCGTGTTTCTTCCTGCTAAAGCGGGGTCAGGAACTTGCTGTTGGATCCTGCAAAGCATCTGCTCCCTCTCCACCCCACCACCCTCATCCTGTCTTCCCATCTGAAAAACGGGGTTAGAAGGTGCTCCCAGGATTTTTACAGCCTGTTTTAGGACTAATGGGATTTTCCAATAGTCAGCAGTTCCCATGGGCTGTTGATCATCCCCCCAAAAAAGATGATGGGATGCTGCTATTTGGGTCAGTGCAAACAACCCCTGATGCAGCACTTCCCTGCCAGCTCCAGGATGATGCACCCTGGTGTGGGAGGTCAAGGACAGATGGGAGAACACCTGTGGTGGGGGTCTGGGCTGCTGGGGAGGGTGATCTGAGCTCAGAGCCCAGGGACCAGCAGTGAGGAGGATGCTCCAGAGCTCCTACAAGTGTCTGCTACTAAATTTAGCCATTGCCTGAGTGCGATTGGGAACCATGGGCTTGCTGTGATGGAGGGGAAGGTGGCCGAGCTCCTTGGCTTGGCTGGGACATACCTGGAGCAGCTCCAGCAGCAGCTCCAGCTCTGCTCAGCTGCTCCTGGGCACCTCCATCCAGAGGGATGGGGGTGAGGGATCTGGGCTCCTGTGGCAGGAACCCAAAGCCTCTGATGATGCCCAGTGTGGGGTCTTTCCCTGGGACTGTGCCCACGGGAGGCTGTGCCCAGGAGGGCCTTTCCTCCCTGTTGGTGCATCACACCCCACAGCCTGCCTTAGGATCCAGGAACATTTTGCAGCCAGGGCGCTCCTGGCATCTCCCCTGGCATCAGCTGGTGCAGCCTCAGCACTTCCTCTGCTTCATTTTCCACTCTTAATTGCACAGTTACTGCAGGATGGAAAAAGGAGACATTTTATGGGGTGTCTGAGGGTGGAGACAGGAATTTTGGTTCCTTTGAAGAGAGACAAAGAGCTGCATGGTTCAGAGCTGTGGTTCCCACCATGGGATCTTTGAGGCACTGTCAGGGAGATGGTGTACAACCTCCCAGTGGAGCAGGAAGGGTCACACTCCTGGGCACAACCTGGGAAAATCCCTGTAGGACACAGTAACAGTGCCCACCTTCTCCTGGCCCAAAAGGCAGCTTCAAAATACCACACTGGGCTTGAATCTTCTTGTCTTCACCAACACAGCGGTGCCAATAAGGTCAGTCTGAGCACCCCGACTTGCCTGTGGCTTTAATCCTCCCTCGTCATGCACACAGTGACAGAGCTGTCCCTGCCGCCCACCCCCAGCATCTCAGGGCCACTGAACCTCCAAGATCTGATAGCGTTGGCCCAGATGGGTCAAAGCAAATTATCATCAGAGCAGCCCATTTCAGTGGAAAACCATCTGACAGTCCAGAGCCCTGACGTGAGCTGGGCTGGCCCAGCCGTCCCCACCCGCAGGTGCAGCGCAGGCTCCTCCTGACCCACATCCCTCCCTCCCTCCGTGACCCGGCCTGCTCCTCAAACACGTCACCACCAGGTGTCACAGCCCACCCTGCCTCCTGTCAGGGTTTGGTGGGTGCTGTGGTGTGGAGGTACCAGGAGCCACAGCCCCGCTGTGCTGCCGACGCCCCGCGATGCTCTCCCAGCAGTGAGGAAGCTCTTGGCCTCCCCGCAGCTGATAAGCTCCCCGTGAAAGGGCTCTAATCACATTTCCCTGTTTGCTGTTCCAGGAGGCAGAGATAATGAGGGGCAGGAGGGAAGCGGTGCCTGCAACCCCTGCAGCAGGAAAACAGGAGGAAAGGGAGGCGAGGAGCTCGCAGTTGGGTGCCATGCCTTGTCCCTGGGTCGGTGGGCTCACTCACCTGCCCGGGTGAGCCTGTCCAAACCCAGCTGGCACCCACTGCCCTGTGACCACATCCCTGCTCTGTCCTGGCTGAGCTGCTGCTGGAGCACAAGCCCTCATCCTCTGCAGGATTCCATTCCATTTAATTCCATGCCACCACTCCCCAAGCACCAGGAGGCAACGGGCTCTCCACTCTCCCCTTTGTTAGTCCCGTGCAAGTGTAAATAATCATTTGGGTACCGGGAAGGAGCGAATTCCCAAGCAGCAGGGCTCGCTGCGATGCCCTGCCTGGGCACCTGCAGCATTTCTCTCCTCCCCATTCCCGCTTGGATTTGGCTGCAGCGCCTGGCACGTGGCCGTGCCCCCGGGAAGGGCAGCTCTGCTCCACCCGCCATCTGCTCCCCTGGCTCTGTGGTGCCCGTCCCACCGCGTGGCATATGGCACTGGAGCCGCCCCTTTTTGGACAAGTAAGGAGCGCTGATGCCGCTCGGGGCCGTGCTGGTGGCTCCCGGGAAGGGCCCCGCTCCCTCCTGCTCCCTCCCTGCCGCACAGACCCCGGGGTTAAATCCCCCGGGAGAGGGGACCTGGCTGATGGTGGAGGAGGTGGCCAGAGCCCCTCGTCCCCAACCCAAAGCCCTCAGGGTCAGCTGGGGGCATCACAAGGCACAGGGAACCCCACTCTGTGGGCTCCAAGCCCAAAACCCAGGACCTGGCGCCTCCTGCAGAACTGCAGAGGAAGGTGTTTCACTTCCAGCTGGAAACCCCAGCGGAGGAGCTCCCGATCCCCAGGGAACGTGTCCCATCCCCAGGGAGGCGGTGCCAGTGCCAAGTCACCAGCTCAGATCCCCGGGGTTCGTCTGTCCCACAGGTACCTGGGAGGGTGTGACCATCACTCCCCGTTGTGCCAAGTGCAAGTGCTGTCTGTCCCCAATCTTGGAATTAGCACATTCTAACGAGGTTTATGGCCCTGGTAAATACACACACAGGGAGCAAAGGAGCAGCATGCCCTGGGTGAGGATGTGGAGTGTTTGCAAGCAGAGGAGAAAGGAGGGATTCTTTTCTCCTCTCCATAACTATTGCAGGAAGGTGAACAGCAGGATGGGAAGGTTTCAGGGCAGTGCAGCTGTTCTAAGACAGGTGTTTTACGTCCTTTAGATGATGTAAACATTGTGCTGGGATGCCCATCTCACCAACAGGGAAAATGGGAGCATGGTAAGGCCCAGCTCATTTTCCAGGAGCACAGTGCAAGATTTGCCCTCTCCAAACATTGTTTAAAGATTGAGATGTGTTTATGGAGAAGTAGGAGCAGGATCCTGGCCTAGTAGGAGTGAGGGTTCAGGAGGAGCAGCAGGCTCTTTTCCTGGAGTGATACCGAGCATGGAATTGCACCCTTAGTCCATAATCCAGACCAACCACAAGCAGCACAAACAAAGAACACCCTGCTGCAGCCAGCCCTGCTCTCCAGGGAATTACAGGAGGGATAAATGAATGAATGCTGTGCACTTAAGCAAGTAGGGGCTGTATGGGAAGGGCCTGGTGCAGCTGTAAATCCACCACAGCCTCCCCCCACTCCTCACACTTGGCACACATCAGATGGGTGGTGTGGGGAAGCAGGAGGAGCATTAGAAATTAAAATGCTATCAGAAAGTTTAATCATATTTTTCAGTTCAATCACAAATGTCGTGCTGGAGATCATTCCCTGTGGTGGTGATGGATTTCCACCATAGGCGGTTCCTCCAGCCTGTCTGATTCCCAGGGTGGCAGCAGGGCTGTGCCTGTGGAGCAGGACCCAGCCAAGTGTTAACAGATATCTGGGCTGTCTCCACACCACAGAGACAGGTGACCTTCAGGGCATGTCCACCTTTGATGTGCATCCCTTTGGAGAGGGATGGATCCTGCAGGCACTGCAAACAGAGCTTCCATTCCTTTGCCTTCTGTGCAAACTCTGATTAATGGGCAGAAAGTCTGTCTCTCTTTTTCTTCCTGAATCCAAATGAAGTCTGACAGTTCCTGATTAACCATTGCCCTTCCCATGGCTGTTCCCAGCACTGGGATTGTGTTCTGCTCTGCTTTGCCCCACTGTCCACATCACCCACTGCTGCCACTGTGGGAAAATTAAAACCTCAGCAGACCAGAACCTGGTGTTTGATGACACTTATTGAATGAAAAAGAGAATTACTTCACCTTCCTCTTGAATTACATCTTCCTGCTTGGGAAGGTGGGACACAGGACCACCTGGGGAGTCTCACACC